TCATATATGGTCCCTTGTCTCTACCTTGTCCCCACCCCCCTTTCCTTGTCCCCACCCCCCTTTCCTTGTCCCCACCCCCCTTTCCTTGTCCCCACCCCCCTTTCCTTGTCCCCACCCCCCTTTCCTTGTCCTTACCCCTCTCCTTGTCCCCCCCTCCCCCCACTTCCTTAAATATAGACTTATGTAGTAGTTTGTAAAATACATTATAAATTGATTTATTGACTTCAAATTATCATAGTTTGAGTTGAATAAATAAATAAATACATATCAAATTACATAACTTCTAGCTGAACAGGGTAAAGTACAAAAAAACACACAGAATTTAGAGGATTCCACTGGAATTCCACTGGAATGACTGGATTCCTGCAGGAATAGGTGGGGCACTGTAAAGTACTGTATTACACTCCCATTGCCCTACCTGAGGAACAAGTGAACCATAAGTCAACAAGAGACTATCACCACAGAAGTTGAACTTCCAGCTAAATGCCAATATCCTGTCACCTTCACCTCTCTTTCTGATAAGATGTTTTATGCAAAAGTCAATAACCACAATACAGCACTTCAGTCACCCACTGACAACTGACTATTAGTCTTGCAAGCTCCATGAATACTACAGGACTAAATGTCAGGGGGTATATCTATATTGTATATATCCTGGGGCTTGTATATCTCTACTTTTACCTAAATATATTTTGATGTCCAATGTCACACCAAATATATTTCCTCACTGGGATGGACTCTAAATATATTTCTTATGCCTGGACCCTGAATTGTGACTGTCACATTGTAAAAATATATTTCTGGTCTGGGATGGACGTTGGATATATTTTGCAGCTGGGGTTGAGTAAGGATATATTTCTTCATTCACAAGAGGTGTCTGGGGTCCTATATTTTAAAAAACACTTGGGATTTTTTTTGATATAGGGGATAGGGGATTTACCTATTATTTTGTAGGCAGAAAGCCTCATTGGGATGTTTGTTGACAGATATTTACCAATAGCTTTGACCCATGTGTAGTATACGCTTTGATGTGTGCATTATTTCCTAATTGGGAAAAGTGTTACACTTTTTTCTGCCACACCTCATGTCAGGCACAGTGCACATTTTGGTTGGAAACTGTTTCCCATGCACTTTGGGCCACAAGAGTTAGTGGCTAGCTTAGTGTTGTCATTGTTCATGACGATGTTTGCATATT